TCAGAAAACGGAGAAAGAACTTTTAAATTCTGCTTTTATTTCAGTTCATTCAGATCAGTCCACCAAGGGATTTTTTTGCACTGTAACTTTGACAACTTTTATCTGCACAAGAGAGTAAAATAGCATGCATCGGATAACTTTGCCCATCTCATCATTGCACGAACATTAATTAACAAGCTGTTACGCTGCCGCTGGGACTGATGAAGTGGAGAAAGTAACAGCAGTTATCAAATGACTAAATTATGATATTTGCTCAGGTGGGTGCTGGGGTCTTATCTATCGGATTGCAACATATATCCATTCTGTTAATTAAATATTACACATAGTGCGCATCTAATTAGAGTTAAGCTAGTCGGCGTGGTAGCCCAGGCTCACATAGTCATAGCCCACTATTGTTAAGCGGGTCGGCGTGGTAGCCAAGGTTCACATAGCCATAGGCCACTAGCGTTAAGCCGGTCGGTTGTTAGGGGGGTGTTTTGTTCTTGTTTTTGCTTGTATTGTCCCTTCTATGTCTCCTGCTTTGTGGGCGGTTATTTCATGTATGTTATATTTGCAGCAGCAATATTTCTTGCATGCTCATAGTAAGAATGTTGTGTATGTATTGGCAGTAGCAAGTCTCTGTACTTGCTCTGCCGCAGCAGCAGCAGCAGCGTAGCAGATCTATTCCGCCAAGACCAAATACATTAACATTGTCATGTACATTACCATGTAAATCTTTTGAGAATATATATATATATATATATATATATATATATATATATATATATTGACATTTCTGTTTTTACATTACATTTCATATTATGTTAACATTTTTAGGTTACCATATATGTCGACAACAGTATTTGGTAACACATTGTTTTAGGGTGACAAAATTACAAAATTACAAGTACAAGAAACTAACCCTAAATCAAATCATAATCTTAGCCCAATACTGAAATAATAGACAGTTAAGACAGTTAGACAGACAGACAGACAGACAGACAGACAGATAGACAGATAGACAGATAGATAGATAGATAGAT